TGAAATAGTCAAAATTCTACTATTTGAATTAGTACCAGCATTTTTTACTAATAAAATAGTCGTTTTCACTTTTAAATAGTTATTTTTTACTACGTAAATAGTTAAAGTTTGACTAATTTAAGATTAGTTACCATATTTGACTATTTCTGACAGTTAAAAGTAACTAATTTCTTTAATCGTTTACGGCCAACAACAAAGTATTATTTAAATTAAATGCATATACCTCTCCATGGTTAAATGACCCATAAAACAAATAAAGATGCAAAAAGTTTGGCTCAAAACATTAACACAAATAATATATTAAACTTTAAAATATTATGAACAATATTTATTGACAAATAAAATTTATTTTTATAAGAGCGGCTGAAAGCCGACTGGTTATGAGGTTAGGTTGACAAGCTTCTCAAGTGACAGACGCGAGCTCAATCCCATGCTGGGTCAAAACTTTTTTTAAATTTAAATTTACTAATTTATTTCATTCAGTGGAATAGAGTAATTGCATCAATAATGAAAATCCCTAAAAACCTTTTTAATGTAATCTAGAGGTAAAAACACATTGCGAAAATATTTTTTTATATTCCAAAAATTCAACCCAGCCCCAAAATATCAAATTGAAAAAAAGGTACTTTTCAAACGTTTCCGAACTCCCGCCATATAACTTTCCCAGGAGTTTTCCAGGTTGTGGTTGTATTTGTACAACAAAGCACAAAACAATATTTACAACCAATTTTTGTTTTCGCGTTTTCCATGTTAAACATAAACTTTATCGGTGTTTATTATTTGTTGACATCTTGATTTCTGACACTGGTGTAGGTTTATGACGTCATGCAATGTGGCGGGAGTTCGGGAACGTTTAAAAAGTACCTTTTTTCAATTTGATATTTTGGGGCCGGGTTGAACTTTTGGAATATAAAAAAATATGTTCGCAATGTGTTTTTACCTCTAGATTACATTAAAAAGGTTTTTAGGGATTTTCATTTTTGATGCAATAACTTTATTTGACTAATTATTAGTGACTGCTTTTTCGCTATGACAATTAGTCAAATATGACTTATAATTAGTTATTTTTGACTAATTCATTTTAAGAGAGTATATATTATAATATATAATAATATAATAATAATATATAATATAAAATTTAATATATAATTATTTATTAAATTATACAAAATTGGTGGATGCAAAAAAATGGTTGGCCTAAAAAGGAGTTATTTTAGACTTATTTTAGCGTGGCACACATACACATACAGGGCTAGCTACTTGACTGGACGAAAGTAATTTTTACTGTCTGTTGCACATTCACGGTTCGCGAAAAAGATTAGGTTGCAAAAAAATTGCTACCCCAGACAGCATCCAATTCAGAAAGATTTCTGTAGGAAGTCTGTTGAAAAACATCTTACCGAGGTCACATCTTAGAGAAATCATTTTTAGGAGCTTATGATTAAGAGTTCTTGATGAATTCATAAATAAGAAGTAAATTTTTTAACATCTTAAAGTATCTTTTTTTCTGACCTAGAATCAAAATTAGAAGCTACTAAGGGTATCATAAATAAGACTTCAGTTATATGATATCTTACAGTATTCTCTTTTCTTACTTCTTACTGAAATCATATTATTAACTCTTTAAGACGTCAACATGGAGACGTCACAATTATGACATTTTAATGCGATTACTTTCTTCTCACCGCTGTAACTGCTTGTGTTTGAAGCAGCGAAGTAGAATTTAGAGCGTGCTCCATACCAAACGGTCTTAGACCTAGGTAAACGGCTACCCGATACTGACGAGCTCCAAAAGAGCGAAACAGGCGGTCTATCGGTGCCGGCGAAGAGCACGCTTGAATTTAAACAAAAGTGAGACGAACTAATCGCAATTCTAAAAATAAGCGAATACGAGCAAATTATTAAAATGATTTTAATAAAATTAATTTAACAAATTCGTTTTTTCTATGGTAATTAAACTTGACATGTCAAAATAAGCAACGATCCAGTATGTAATTTTTTCATCAGTACCCTAGTAGTACTTCTATATCCAAAACTGGAAATTTTAAAGAAGTCTTTTTATAAGTTTATACAGTAGTACTCTTTAAATGCTTAATTGCGAAGTCAAAGAAAAGGGTTCCTCAAGAGTTCTTTTTTGAGAAGTCTTGATTAGTTCAATAGGTGGCGCATTCGAAGTCCTAAGAACTTCTTAAAAACTTCTTTCTGATGTTGTATTTGACATCCAAATCATAAAATAGAGCTTATTCAGACTTAATTAAGACGTCATATTGCTGTCTGGGTACGAAAAATTGATAATAAATTCGGACAAGATCTTGCGACAGGTCTTCTTCGCTAGAACTCATTTTCAAAACCTAGGAAGAATTTCAAATTTATGATAAACATTCTGAGAGCTTACAAAAACTGTTATGTTTGTATTACCAAAAATACCATAGCAACAAAGCGTTGTCAACATAACGTCGGCGACGCAACACCTACTTAATATTTTGTCATAATTTTATAGCCCCATACCGGGTATTTGAATATTTAATGCCAAATATTCAAGCTTCGCTTCTCGTCGGGCATCAAACTATTCGCGGGAGGAAAAGCACTATTTTCTTTCCATGGTATGTAAATAGACATTAATTTGAATTTTTTGTTCCATTGTAGCATTAGTAGATAGTATTATATTTTTCATAGAAAATATTAAGACCAAAATAATGGCATTCAAAATATTAAAACTAAAATTCTAATGTATTTTGTAAAAAGTATAATTTTTTGAAATTTTTGTGTAATTTTTTTAATTACCTACTAAATTGAAAAAGCACCAAAGTAAACGGATTTCGGTATAAACATTACTCTTCGACAATTATTTAAAAAAATTGTATTCACATCACGCCTAAAGTAACCAAAAATTGAAACTAGAATCTTAAATTTATTAAATCTTATCATATCAGGTCGAAAATTGGCGCCAATTCATTGAAGAAATGCTCTCCGCTTTTCAAAAAATTGATTTTAATTTGCCCAAATTTCTAGGTAAATTAACAAACCACCAAGTTTGAGTTAAAAGTCCAAAAAATGTCCTGCTCAATCGAACTTCGAGTGGTATTTGCTGAGAAAATTCCACGAGTAAATAAATTAAGTCATTTTTGTGTCACTTTGTCATTTTTCTATACAATATTATATCCGTTACTATGGAAAAGGTAAATAGAAAAATATACGCCTATTTTGGCATTTTTATTCCTTCCTTTTTATCCGTCAGCAAACCGTATTTTTGACAGTTTTTAATAGGTCTAAATTGACAGGATTTCAATTGGCGAAGACAATTTTCATACCGAAACTTAATTAAAATAAAATATCAAATACTGGTTAAAATGCCATACTGCTAAGTTAAATTTTATCTATTTGACGTATACCGATTACTCCAGTACAAATTTAATAAATAATTAAAATATTAACAAAAAACCTAAATTTTGAGGCGATTGAGCCGAGCAATTTATTACGCAATTATTTTAAATCCTATACGTCCTAGATCAAAACGAGTGACATTTTTGAAATCAGCGGCCCAAAATTAGTTTATAAAACTATTATAGTGTAATTAGTAAGCATATTAATAGTAGGTATATTCAATTTGTCCATGTTTTTTTCCGGATACGGCCCGATAGAAAATTTATAGGAAATTACCTATAGGTATACCATAACTTTTATATTTTCCCTATTGAGACCGATAGCAAACAACTCAATGAAGAATATATAGGGATATCCCTATAGAACAACCATAAAAAATTTGATAAAATTTTATTAAAACCTATGGGGTCCTATGGTGGAAAAACTAATTTCTAGATTTATGTGTATTTTCCCCATTGAAACCAATAGCAAATAAATCAAGGGTGGATATCCCTATAGAACAACCATAAATCCCAACTATGAGTCCTATACATACCGATACACCCTATAGAAACACCATACATTCCGATACAAATAGCTATCGGTTTGAACAGGGCCTCTATGGCGTATTTTAAGCAGGGTAATGTCATAAGACGTCATTTTGTCGCACGCGGACAATTTATAAAACGAGCGACGAAGGAGCGAGTTTTGTAATTGACGAGTGCGACTAAAGGTCTTATGACATGAGTTCTTTATGCTACTTTATCTATTTTGCAAAAATTCTATAAAAAAAAATTTTATACCTTATATTTAATTTGGTCGAATTTTACTTTAGATAGTTGGTATCCCAGTCATTGGTTTGACAGTTAATGTCAAAATCGATTCGCCATGCCGTCCTTAATTTACTTATTTACAATAAGCGGCTGTTAATGTTAAAGAAGAAAACAATGATTTTCTTTGGTGTTAGACAAAATTTATTGCCAGAAAAGTCTCGTAAGTACTAGAAAAATCATAAAAATATTATAACCAATATGCAAAATATTATTTTACTAGTATTAATATTATTTTACTATAGTATGCTGTTTAAAGTATTATATATATAGCCAGAGTAATCAAAATTTTGGGTGTGGTAAAGTATCTCATTACAGCACCGAAAGCGGTGTTATAATGAAGTCATTATGAAGGCAATATAGAAATATAGTTAATGATAACCTAGTTAAGCACGACACGATCTCTTTAAAAGATCAGGTGCACTTAATTAATTGAAGATATTTTTGTACAAAAATTGTAATTATTTTTAATGAATTTATTATTATTATATTATTATCTAGATAATAATATTTAGCTAATATCTATAGCTTATTATTAAAAAGGTGCTTCCTCCATAATTTTTTATCTTAAGCTGAAACATGAAACTTCTTAATTTAAATAGATCTTATAAGATTTTTAAGCTTAAAAAGAATTAGTTGCTGTTAACTAAAGAAGATAACTCATCTAGATAGATAGGAGCCCTATCATAGTACCAGTTAAACCGCGGTTTCCGGAATTGTTTGCGAAGAAGATACCTAGTTATTGCATTATTGCATTGTACTAGGAACGCCACCGGTTGGAAGGCGACTGTGCGCAGATCGGCGATATTCGTGCTTGATCGTCGTAATGGTGGAAGCGCTGCCGGGCTTCCGAGGGCCGAGGAGCGGTGGTCTCCGTCGACGACGACGACGACGACAACTACGAACCGCCTCTTATCAATACCCGGAGAATAGGCAACAGCGCTCACATTCGCGGTGTCGCTGCGTCGTCGTGTGTTCGTTCCTATATTCAGCGTACAACTTCGACCGAAATGACCTCGCACACAATTCAAGAATTAATTCTGACAGTTGTTGTTGTGCCGTTGTTCCGTAACAGTGTCTAGTGGTTAGTGGTGGTTTATTGTGCACGTTGTGGTGAAGTGACGACACTTATTGGTGTTGGTCATGGACAAAAATAACATTTAAGGTGGATGATGGCCGATCAGCAACAACGCGAGGCACCCGAGCGAGAGCTCGAACAGCAAATATTGCAAATGAAGAAGCAACACCAGCTCCAGCATCAGATCCTGCTGCAGCAGTTCCACCAGCAGCAGCAGCATCTTGTCGAACAGCACGAGCAGCAACTCAGACAGTATCTCAAAGAGTACTGGGACAAGCAGAAGCATCTCCAGGAGATGAGGCAGCGGGAGCAGCTGGAGGCCCTTCGTAAGAAGGAAAAGCACGAAGAAAGTGCGGTGGCCTCCACAGAGGTCAAACAAAAACTACAGGTGTTTCTCAAACAACGCGCCTCCGGCTGCTCCAAAGCGGCCAGGACCGACAATTCCTGCTGGTAAGTAACAACCGTTTATCCTCCCGGATCAGCTGATCTTGCAATCCTACCAACTTTACGATTTGTTTGTAAACACAGACACACTTCACTATTTAACTACTTACTTACATTACTTACCCGGCAAACATAAACATTCCTGAAAAATTTATCGGAAACTAAGTATCTCTCAATTAAGGTTACCAGAGTTATCTAAAATCCAAGTCATTGTACTCGATGCACAATTGTTCGACGCGCAAATAATCCCGCATCATTAAACCACATCAACGTAATAAATACATTTCCTAACTCCTAAACAAAGGTTATTAATAACCTACCTTTAAACCAACTGGCACCTGTTGTTCTCACTGTTCTACAATTTACTATCGAAGCATCGTTTCTTAATGTTTTTTCCGTTTTAGTGAAAACATTTAATTTTATTTAAATTACCTTTTTTTAAACCATTTGCATACATTTTGCTAATCGGATACCTATATATATATAACTAAAAACCATATACCTACCTAAAAGAGAATAAAACAAGGCTGCCTTCAACGTTATTATAAACGTATTAATTATAGATTATTTATTAACTACAGGGCGTGATAAAACTATATGCCCAGTTTAAATGTCAATGGGATAACTTATATTCATAATTACTGTTGTTACAGTTAATTTCAAAATCCCCGTTCATGAATGGTATATTATCTTTGAATAAAATCAATAAGCATACAATTACGGATAACCCAAAACGTTCGTTAAAGTGTACTTTTAGTTCAGATACTTGATTGTTCATTCAATTTGTTAACACTGTTATTAGATTTCCTTGCTAATAATAATAAAAAAATAATAACACCATCTTACTTTGTTTAGAAAACGAATAGGGGATTATGTCATTAGAAGGATAAGTAAGTCTTTTTTGCTGGGCTCAAAAGATTGCAGCATAATATAATATCAATATTATTAGCCTCAACGCAACTTATTCATTATTGTATTAATACAATAATAATTTTATTTCCCCAGTACATAAGTGGAGACAACAAATCAATAAAAAGTCATTTTTTTACTCTATTTTATTTATTGACAAACTGTCATTCATAGTTTATAGTTGATGATATTTAGTACTCCTCCTCCAAGCTAATTTTCATATCGCGATATTAGGTAAAACAAACTTGTATTCTACTTATTAATACAAGTTAAAGTTTATATAAAAGTGTAAGTGTTTTATAATATCTTTAATTGAATAGTATAATTAAAATAATTAATATATTTCTATAAATATATTTTTATTATTATCTACCAAAAGTTTTTGCTGAATTATAAATCAGATCTCTCTAAGGATTTTAACATAAACCATAAGTAAAAATGCATTTCCTGTATGATTTCTTTTATACTGTGAATGCACATACATAACTGCATGATTAGACCTATGTATAACCCATAATTATTCGCATCGTTCTATTCATTACTTTATTTTTTTATTAATAAACACACACGTGTCGGAATTAGTTGTGATTATTGCAAATTATATACGTTAACCTGGAATTCGCAGTTAACGTTTATTTTGCCATATAAATACTTACAGGATGTTAACAAAAGGTTTAGCAGTTGGTGGAACTTCTAAAAAATAAAAAAGGTATATAAACATACTTGCTTTAATCTGAAGGCTTTTGTTATAATTTTGGTGCGATTTGATTGGCTTACCAAAAAATGCTATTTAACGCTTTGTTTTTCAAAAATTGGTAAAGAGAAAATCTTCTTAGAATATCTCAATATTTTCCGGTTGAGGGTGTTAAAATTAAAATTTTGTAGTCAAGAAGAATAATCAATATTCTTTTTTTTATTATAATTGTAACAAAATTATTTCTAAACACAATCGAATTTTAATTTTCAAGTTTGTATTTTGTAAACTATATTAAATTATTTAAAAAAGTCATACTTTTTTTTACTTTTTTATAAATGTTATGACTATTTCTAACCCTGAGCAGTATTATTAAATAATAGGTATAGTTTTTACTAATATATTAGCCTCGATATTAGCATTGATTAAGACTCTTCACTCAACGATATTAATATGTAAAAATAAGTCGTCTACATACATTATGTGATGATACATACATATTATAGATTATCTTGTCTTATTCCGATTAGACGCACAGTGTTCTAGTAACATTGATTTCAAGTTCGTCAATTACCTTGCAGATATACCTATATATTTTTTAATTTTGAACTAGGTATACCTATCTCCAAAATAAAGCGATTGCGGACCTAAATTTATATTAACTTTTTTCTTAAAATCATTTAAGGATTGAGCCCATTCAGTACAAAACAGAAAGGATTTAAAGAGTACCTATATTGCAAAAGATAACTGCGTAACCCAAGAGACTAGTATCTGGCGTAACAACATTTTTCATAAGGTTAATTTTTCGAAAAAATTAAATAAAAGAAAAATACGACTTTTTGGAGTGAAAAGATCATTAAAACATTTCGATACTTTTCATTTCACAATGGTTTTAATCGAATCAAAATAAAGTAATAGCTAAAAAGTGTGCGACTTTACTTAATATTTAATGAACATGATTAAGTTTCTTATATCGGACCACCCCTTTCAAGTAAGCGGAACCAAAAGGTAAAAGATCGATAATAATGTTGATGCATACATAAAACACGAGGTCGCAGATTATTCGTTGCATTTTTAGAAATTTAACCGGCATACCAACGGTTAATTTTAGTTTGCTGATAACTTGTGACATCACTAAAGATAAAAATTTATGATACAATTTTGTCGAGAGATAAAACTGTAATATTCGCTTTGCGTTATTATAGGTACAAAAACATAATAATATTTTTTATCGTAAAATCCCTCTTCTCTCTTTTATATTATTATATTTTTACCTTGGATAATTTCCACGTGCCAGGTCAAAGGGTCAAATAATTTGTTTAACTCAAGTACAATTTATATCGCTAAAGTTTACTTAAAAAGTTAAAAATAAAAAACGCATTAAAATTATAAGTTTTTAACGAGTGGGCAAGTGGTAAAAATACTACGCCTAATTTGTGGCGCGTTTTCTATTGATTAACTCACAAAAAGGATGTTATTAATTTATAATTTTGTCTGTCAGCCTCGTTGGTCTATTTTTAGAACGCATGTTTATAACTAATTATAGCACTGAAGACATATTTTTAGCTTTTAGTGGATTACCCAAATAATCAACTAGCGTCAATAAATCTTTCGTGGTAAAATAAATTTATCTTAATTAGGTTTTTAAAAAGATAAGTATCAACGTTTAAATCTTGTATACATACAGTAGGAAATCAACAAATCACAGCTCTGTGGGTAAATAAATAAAAAAGTATTGAAATTTAAAACCTTTTTTCCATTTTTGCAAGAGTCTGTTTTTTCTACTCCCACCTTTAAAACGCCATTTATCGTACATGTTTCCATGACACTAAGTGACCTTTTAAATACTCATTGACAAGTTGTGGCTTTATGGCGCTTTAGTCACGGGCTGAAGTTTACAACAGGTTTTTAGTCACGGGCTGAAGTTAGTTTTAAGTTAGTTGACAGTTGTCAAATGTCATACAATCGTTAAAATAAATCGCTTTTCTTGTAAAATAATACTAAATGTGAAAATTATTTTATTATCTCAATACAAAAATACAAAAGTATTAAATAGCTTCTCAACGCCAATATTTGAAAAGTTTATATGAACATTGTACTGACCTTTTAATTTCGCCGGCAGTAAACTATAACTTAAATTCGGGCATGGACTCTACTGTAAAGTCCTCATAAAACATTTCCTTTACTTTCACTGTGAAAAACTGTCAATTTTCAATACATTTCGATTTATAACCTTTATAATTGTGTTTATAAAATGTAAAAATGTGACATTTGACAGTTTCCCCTGTTGTTTCAAAGATGGCGCTCTATACACATTTTTGATTTAAATCATTTTAAGATAATAATAAGTATTTGTCGTAGAAAAAGTATAGTATGCACCTCGTTTATAAACTTTTCTATACACTCATTAACTTAAGCACTCGCTCGCAAGCTCGCTCGTGCCTAAATTAAATTCGTGTATAAAATGGCGTTTATCCAACTTGATACATAATATACTATTATTACTTTTCTTAACCAAGGCATTGCAATACTGTATTGTGTAGTTTTATACTAAAATTAAAAACGATTGATTCAAGAAAGTAATAAATCCTTAATAATATATTTACCTACATATATGAGTCATTCCACCAAATATTTTTTTTTGGTGTAAAAATAATTAACCCCATCGTGAACATTACATATTTTGTGTAAAAAATTAACTTCAGAAAAAATATCAAACTTGAAATAAAAATTGCCGTATACGCATTTTTCACTTTGATTGAATTTTTGAGGGTATGTCGTTACTCTTAATAAAGAATGAATATTTTCATTGAAAACCTAAGAAATTTTTATGAAACATTATTTACATCCAAAAGAAATTTACGAAAAAGTTAAAAAAAAATATCGACAAAATTGGAAAAGTATAGTGTATTAAGTGTATTAAGAGCTCAAATCTTCAGTGAGTCATTATTTTGATGTACACTGTTATAAAAATCAGACTTGTGAACATGAGTTTGTAGTTAGTTAATTTTTTGTAGAAAACCAGGGATATTAATTATTGTAAGAATGGAAAATATTTTACCTAAATTTTTGTAACGGTAATATGCAACTTTGTAAGCATTTTGTTAATTTCAAAGGTTCCAGATTATTTTGTTAATGTTTTACAAATTATTTTGTTAAAAAAGTACGTGTGATTTCAGTTGCAATCAAAACATTTTCCACTGCATTAACAAGTTCAACGGACATCAGCTTCTGCAACTTATGCTTCTGCTTACTTTATCTAATTCATAACGTGTTCTTAACAACTGCCCAGAGTGTTTAAAATTTATTACCAGAAATCTGTTATTATTGTTATTTGGATTCCTTATACCTATTTAACGAGTGTGCGAAGTATCTGAAAAAAGATGCCATCACTGGTTTTCAA